ACGTGGCTGGCGCCTTAGCCGGTTGAGCTATGGGCGCCGAGCCTGTGAAACTTCTTTTTGAGCTTTCAGCTGTGCACACAGATTTACGCTGGAGGACATCAGCCTTATCTCAACCCTGAACTCATCTCTTCTGTTTTATAGGAAGCCATAAAGAATCACAGAATATACATCTGGAAGGGGAACTGTGAGGTAATTTAATCTATCCGCTTTCTTTCATAAATAGGGGCACCAAGCTGCGTCCACATTCTCTGAGGCTTGGTCCACCTCAGGCCCGCACCTACCGTTCTGCCTTTTAGCTGGCATGGAGTAATCAACAGATCATTCCTTGCTAAGGTTTAAGAGACTAAGAAAAGAATTCACTTCTCTAGGATTATTTTCATGACGCTAAGCTCTTGCTTTTAAGTTCTCCCACCCCAATTCCTCAGTCTACAACACAAACGGATGACCATGAGGAAATGAACAGTGAACTGACTGAGAAGGGTGCAGACCACCCAGGACAGCGCAGGAGGCAGGGAAGCAGGCTCATTTTCTTTCCATTAGCTTCTCAGTGCAATCTCAAGTGCCGATGTCTCCGTGTCTCTAAATTTTAGAAATGGCTGTGCTATACTGATTTGACCTTACACTGTCTACTTTTTTTGTGGTTTTTGGCCAGGGCTGGGTTTGAACCTGCCACCCCAGGCATATGGGGCCAGTGCCCTACTCCTTTGAGCTACAGGCACCGCCCAACACTCTACTTTTTTAACTTGTTTTATTTGGAGACAGATTCAGAATTTTATAAGAAGAAACTTAATGATCAAGTATAATCTATACCTTTTAGAGATGAAAAAACTCCAAGGTCACATAGTGAACCCAAGGGTTCTGGGACTAGAATTTATTTTTATTATTATTTTTGTGTGCGTGTGGAAGGGAACAGTATTTATTAAAACAGCTGTTAATCAGGATGCACTTAAAATTCAGATTATCATGGTGGTGGCTGTAGCTCAGTTTGTAGGGTGCCAGCCACATACACCAAAGCTGGCAGGTTCAAACCCAGCCTGGGCCAGCTAAAACAACAATGAAAACTACAATAACAATAACAACAACAAAATAGCCAGGCGTTGTGGTGGGCGCCTGTAGTCCCAGCTACTTGGGAGGCTGAGAGAAGAGAATGGCTTAAGCCCAAGAGTTTGAGGTTGCTGCGAGCTGTGATGCCATGGAACTTTATCCAGGGCAACAGCTTGAGATTCTGTCTCAAAATAAATAAATAAATAAAATAAAATTCAGATATTTTTGTAAAAAAGCGGTTTTGTGGATTCAAAAGATAAAAAATACTTAATTAAAAGAATATTTAGAAAACAAAATAAATTAGTAAAGATTTTGAGAAAAAGATTGGAGAATATAGTAAAGAATGTAGGGTATTTGTTTTCAGAAAAAAATGTTTGACATCCTTTACCTGTGTGAATTTTTTTTTTTTTTTTTTGAGGCAGAGCCTCAAGCTGTCGCCCTGGGTAGAGTGCCGTGGCTTCACAGCTCACAGCAACCTCCAACTCCTGGGCTCAAGCAATTCTCCTGCCTCTGCCTCCCAAGTAGCTGGGACTACAGGCACCCTCCACAATGCAGGCTATTTTCTGGTTGCAGCCATCATTGTTGTTTGGTGGGTCCGGGCTGGATTTGAACCCGCCAGCTCAGGTGTATGTGGCTGGCGCCTTAGTTGCTTAAGCCACAGGTGGCGAGCCTACCTAAATTTTATAGGTGGTGATATGGATTTATTTTCTAAGTGTAGAATCAGAAAGAAAAGGCACAACTTACAAAAGAAAAGGTCTTAAGTATCTATGAAGAATTATTCGTGGAAAAGCAAAATTACAGAGAAAAATAGAATTGGTCTTTCTGAAATGACTTGCTGATAGTCCCATATGAAAGCCAGGAAGGGTAGGTGATGTTTCAAGGCAGGCCTAACCACATTCACCACAAATTCACCTTTCTCATCTTATATTTTCTTTAAAAACTCATATGGTATGTTAAAATGCAATGTTATATTCAAAAGAATGAGAAACATCTATAGCAACCTACATGCTAAGAGGTCCACAATTCTGCAATATTTATGTGATCCCATTATTGTATAACTTTTTTTTTTTTTTTTTGGAGACAGAGCCTCAAGCTGTCCCCCTGGGTAGAATGCTGTGGCGAGTCTCTTGAGCCACCGGCGCCAAGCCTGTATAACGTTTTAAAAGAGGTTAGGTGTGCATGACTTAAAAACATATATCCACACCTATTTGTGTGTGTATATATACGTTTATCACACATATATGAAAGTTGCAAAGCACAGAAAAAAGTTTATTAAAATATGTAGCAAACTTATTTATTGGTGGGTTATACCTCTGGGAAATAAGATTGCTGGTAGAGACCTTTCAGATTTTATTTTAAATACTTCTAAATTATTTGAATTTACAGTAAAGTATATTTCTGAGGTTAAAAGGTCTAATTCATGTACTATGCTTAAACAAATTCTCAAGAGGAAACTAGATTTTTGAACTGCACCCAATGCTGCTGCCCCCACATAGCTAGCTTTGTACCAGTGTCTGTACCTTACAGTGGGAGAAGGTCACCGTGTACTGGGCATCCTTGGACTGTGGTGAAGGCACCTCTGGGTCTACCACTGGGGCAGCCACCGTAGACTCACACTGGTCCCAGAATGTATATTGACAGAAGACGAAATTGGAGAGGTTTAGGGGCAGCCCAGTAGCCTCTTTAATTTTTACCTGAAGAAATTTAAAAAATGAAAAGAAAATTCCTATAAAGAAAAAATTGAACATTCTTTTCTTTCTTTCTTTAATCACAGGTATTATTTTATCGAGACAGAGTCTCAAGCTGTCACCCTCACTAGGATGCCATGGCATCGTAGCTCACAGCAACTTCCAACTCTTGGGCTCAAGCAATCGTCTTGCTTCGGTTTTTCTATTTTTAGTATAGATGGGGTCTCACTTTTTGCTCAGGTTGGTCTCAACCTCCTGAGCTCAGGCAATCCACCTGCCTCAGCTTCCCAGAGTGCTAGGATATCATAGGTATTTTATTATTTTTTTAAACTTTATTCAAATTAATCTGAGGGTACAATATTTAGGTTACATTGTTCTCACTTCCAGGGCAAAGTTCCATTTGTAGGCGAGCTCCTCACCCAGGGGGTGTGTTATACACCCTCACAATGTGCACAGAAGGTGAGATTCCGCCTCATGCCCTCCCTTCCTCTGCCATACATCCTCCCCCCTCCCCTGCTTCCCTCTAGCCCCCAACTGGACTATAATGGTGTTTTATTATTCTTAGGAACATATAATCATTTATATGTTGATTTCACATCAGTATGGAGTACACTGGATATTCATCATTCCATTCTTGCAATACTTTATTTACTAAGAAGAATGTATTAAGCATTCTTTTCTTATTTTAGCAACCTCAATTTTAAGAGTAAGCAACTAAATGGCTGGATGCAGTGGCCCACACCCATCATCCTAGCACTCTGGGAGGCTAAGATGAGAGGATCCTTTGAGCTCAGGAGCAAGACCCTCTCTCTACTAAAAATAGAAAAAAATTAGCTGGGTGTTGTGGAGAATGCCTATAGTTCCAGCTGCTTGGGAGGCTGAGGCAGGAGGATCGCTTGAACCCAGGAATTTGAGGTTACTGTGAGCTAGACTGAGGCCCTGGCATGCTTGCTTGGGCAGCATAGTGGGACTATTATGTTTCTTTTTCTTTTTTTTTTTGGAGACAGAAGCCTCAAGCTGTCCCCCTGGGTAGAGTGCCGTGGCATCACAGCTCACAGCAACCTCCAACTCCTGGGCTCAAGCGAGTCTCCTGCCTCCGCCTCCCAAGTAGCTGGGACCACAGGCGCCCGCCACAACGCCTGGCTATTTTTTTGGTTGCAACCGTCATTGTTGTTTGGCGGGCCCGGGCTGGATTCAAACCCGCCACCTTGGGTATACATGGCTGGCACCTTAGCCACTTGAGCCACAGGCGCCAAGCCTGGACTATTATGTTTCTAAATAAATAAATAAATAAACAAATCAAATAAATAAATAAATTTTAAAAAAGAGTAAGCAATTAAATCAATAAATCAGTTATTCATTTGACATCTAGTGACTGAGTTTTTGGTATAGACACAACCTCTAAACTAGAAAAACGAAGTTCACTAAGCAACATATGCTCTTTGAGTACCAAATACATCGATACTTCTGAAATTTGATATAACTATCACTAGAGAGGGTGCTGTACTTCTAAAAAAAGCATTGTCCATCATTGTATCTGTTGTCACAAAATTTAATTTTTACTATGCTGGATGAAAGCCTCTCGTAAGTTTTTCTGTAAAATGGTTTTACATGGAAAGGGTCATTTGTGGGCCTCCCCATCTCTGTCCTCTCACCCGGCATGTCAGTTTTTTGACTCGGTGAATGATTTCCCCGCTGCTGTCTACGACCTCAAGGCTCCCACTTTCACTGGAGTTCTCTGAAGAGTCATCCTCCACCACGCGCTCGGGAACAGCTCCTGTAACTCGCATCACTTCCACGTGGAGACGCCCTGCCACCTGCGTGAAGGAACCAGGGCACCCTGCAGTTAAAAGCATCCACGGGCAGCACTGACCTGAGACAGAAACTCACTCTCCAATAGCCGTAGGGACAGCCCAGCAGCTGCTCCTTCGTTGCGTTGCCTCCAGCAATGGGAGCCCCATCACTCATAGAGCCAGTCCACTCTACCACTTTCCCCTGCTGTCGTCCTTCCATGACTTGAGCCAAATTTGCCTCCCTGCCACTGGCCTTCTGGAGTCATCCTCAGACTTGCCCTTCTTCTACAGAACAGCCCAGGAACACCTTAAAGGCAGCTGTCATGTTCCACCTGCAGTCATCCACTTTCCATGTCTGTTTGGATGCTCACTCATACATTCATTTGATGAATTACCCACTCATTTATTTGATCAAACAACTAGTCTCATGGGATACTGAGATAAGGACATGGGTTCTGCTGTCAGAGGACTCACAATCAAAGGGAGTGAAAACCCCAATAACAGTCAAAAACCCAATAACTACCGATATAGACTAATTGCTATAATAGAGATGTCTGCAGGTTGATATGCCACCGATTTATCCCCTCAGCAAATCCCCCCAAACCAGTTGTGCCAGGAATTGTGCTAAGCACTATGTTTACAACAGCAAAGCAAACAGACAAGGTTCCTGGGGTCATGACACTTTTATTCCTGGGAGTAGAGAATGGGTGAGTATTTGGAGCACAGCTGTGAAGAGGATGAAGAGGGCTCCGTGAAGTGGTGCCATCAGACCTAGTTCAGGAGGAACAGCACATACAAAGCCATGCAGGCATGAGGAACCAGCTCTTTTTAAATGGTCTGTTATTCCCTTGCACTGTTGTGGGGCTGTCTGGATAGGAGCCAGTTTAACAGTATTTCTCTGAAAGCTGGTTGCATGGAACTGAATTAAAGTATGAGAATTGTCCTGAAATTTGCATTTTTTTTTGGAGACAAAGCCTCAAGCTGTCACCCTGGGTAGAGTGCCATGCATCACAGCTCACAGCAATGTCCAACTCCTGAGCTCAAGCAACTCTCCTGCCTCTGCCTCCCAAGTAGCTGGGACTACAGGCACCTGCCACAACGCCCGGCTATTTCTTGGTTGCAGCCGTCATTGTTGTTTGGTGGGCCCAGGCTGGATTTGAACTTCCCAGCTCAGGTGTATGTAGCTAGTGCCTTAGCTGCTTGAGCCACAGGTGATGAGCCGATATTTGCATTCTTGGTATGTTCTGATTGCTTGGATTATCCTTTAGCACATAGTTTAAGGTTGTAATAACTGCAGTTTGAAGGCCACACATGATCTGGTCATGTTGCTGTTATCTCAAATAGCGAAGGCTGTTTTTAAAGGTGGCTCAGATCTACCTTCTTCTAGTTCTACCATTTTTTAAAGACTACTTTGGGGCCAGAAGGAACCAGAATGTATCACAAAGGTATGAGATTATCTTTCAAAAGAGAAATCGGTACAGGGCACATAACTGAATCTAGTCTCTTTTCTTTTTTTTTTTTTTTGAGACAGAGCCTCAAGCTGTCCCCCTGGGTAGAGTGCCGTGGCATCACAGCTCACAGCAACCTCCAACTCCTGGGCTCAAGCGAGTCTCCTGCCTCCGCCTCCCAAGTAGCTGGGACCACAGATGCCCGCCACAATGCCCGGCTATTTTTTGGTTGCAGCCGCCATTGTTGTTTGGCGGACCCAGGCTGCGAACCTACCACCTTAGGTGTATGTGGCTGGCGCCTTAGCCACTTGAACCACAGGAGCTGAGCCTGAATCTAGTTTCTAAAAGATTTTTAATTCAAAAAAACTACGAAAGATTTTTAATTTGATTAAAACAAAAAACTTTATAAACCACAAATATAAAATGTGTTATAGAGACGTGATTTAATTCTCATTGCTTCTACTAAGAATGTCAATAATGTTCTACTAAGAATTTCAATTATTAGTAGAGAAAAAAAGAATCCAGACTCTATGTACCCTAGTTTCTTGATCTTACTTCACGAATATTGCTTAAATTGAATGAAAACAATCATAAACGCAAACCAAAAACCTTAAACCACCGGCATCCTCCAAGGCTGGCCTGTCCTTACCTCCCCCTGCTGGCTGATGATAGGAACTGCATACTGAAGTTTCACATCACAGAAGAGGCATTCCAAGAACACATTCGCCACCCCAATTAAGTTGTGATTCTCTTGGGCTTCATAGAAAGGGTCACCCCGTTTCCCGTAGAGTCTCTTTGCCTGAGTAATAGGAGGGGCCAGTGGGTGGAAAAGTGGGGAAAAAAAAACTTAAATCATATTATTTAAAACTTTAAAGACTGGATAGATGGCATCCATCCCAGCGAAGAAGTAAAATTAGAATGTCACATAAATACAACAAAATTAGCACATTGGGAGGGGCTTGTCCGTTGGGGAACTAAATGAGGAAGCTCCTGCCTTGAGGACCTATCACACCTAACCTGCAGCCCTTCTCATTTCAATCCTTTTGCCAAGTCTTCTTTTCCATTACTAATGCCCGCAAATGGATTATGTACACTGAAATGACTCCCAGCCGCCATCTCAGCCACGATCACAGTGAGAGGCGCAGGAACAGACGCTAACAAATACAAAATTCATGTTGGCTCCAGCCAAGCTGATTTTTCACAACTCTGGCAAAACAGCATAAATGTACTTGATTTCCTTCATTTCACTTGAAATGTAGTAAAAATGAAGCCAAATGAGAATTTGAATCTATGTTCCCTTCCTTCAGTTTCCATCTGTGTGGGGATCCCATGTCATATTACAGATCCAACTTTATTTTCCTAATATAAATGTATCAGTGTGTATTTTCCTAATACAAATGTGTGTGTGTTCTCACGGTGAAATCATTACGTACTCTGCTTTTAACAAAACCAAAACTCCTTAATCTTTTCTCTTTTACCTCAGGAACTTTCTCCTTCCATTCTTGATAAAGATCTCTCATATCGATTAATTTATTCTCCAGCTTCTCAATGGTCCAAACCTGGGTGCTCTTCCCTTTTCTTCTCACTTGGATGGCCGGCTCACTCACTATTGCACCTCTCTGCGTAGGAAGGAAAACCAGCCGAATGAATGCTGTTACAACTTCTTTTTTTTAAATTACTAAAGCAATATATGATAGTAAATAGTAACTTTGAAAAACACATAAATACATAAAAAAAGATAAAATTCTACTACCTAGGAAATATTCTGGTTTAGACCTACATAGAGTCATGGATACGCTTTTTGGTTTAATCATAATAATTTTACAATAATTATTAACAAAAATTTACAATTTTGTTCCAAATCATCTCCCGTTTTTACATTGTGATCATTTTTCTGATGTCATTAGTTTTTAAAAACATGATGTTTAATGGCAACATAGCAATCCATCCTGTGGGTCTACCACCCGTCTAATTATTCTATTGTGCAACTTCACAGCTGTTTCAAATTTTTGTTATTATAGAGGCTACTTTTAGTCAAAAGACTAAAGCCCAGCACAACTGATAAAGATATTCCCTGATTCACTTTTTAGCTTGCTTCCTGGAGTGAAAAATGAATGGATGAAAACTATTTTCTTCAAAGTTTCTCCCAAAAGAAAAATTCTTTTTTTTTTGCAGTTTTTGGCTGGGGCTGGGTTTGAACATGCCACCCGCGGGACATGGGGTCAGCGCCCTACTCCTACGAGCCACAGGCACTGCCCTTAGGAGAGAAATTCTTAAAGTTGAAATGACAGGAAATTTCAAAATGCGTGCAAAGCTGTGTATGTAAAGCTACATATCATTAAAAAGTCTGCCTTTCTTGTAGAATTCATTCTTCTAAAAGTACTATAACAAACATACACATATCTCTCCTTTCAGAAAGGTATTTATATGCAAGGAAAAGAAGGCAGGATTACTTAGATGTATTTCTAGTTTCATTGTTTTTTTTTTAACTAATTATTTTTTATTAAATCATGACTTTGTACATTGATGCATTTATGGGGTTCAGGGTACTGCTTTGATATACAATATGAAAGGTTTACACTGAACTAAGTAACACATCCATCACAATTATACTCGTTTGTTAATAGTTTTGGAATGTACCATTGCATCACTCTGTCGCCCTGGGTAGAGTGCTGTGGCATCACAGCTCACAGCAACCTCTAATTCCTGGGCTTAAGCGATTCTCTTGCCTCAGCCTCCCAAGTAGCTGGGACTACAGGCACCCACCACAACACCTGGCTATTTTTTGTTGTTGCTGTTGGCACCGGCTGGGTTTGAACCCACTACCTTCAGTGTACGTGGCTGGCACTGTAACCCTTGTGCTACAGGCGCTGAGCCTAGTTTCATTGTTTTAAATAAAGCATTTAAAAATTAGCAAGTCTTTCAGCTTCCCAAATCCTGTATATCCTGCTTATGACATATCTAAGGGTGTCCATTATATGGTATTCTTACCCAGGAAGGTGTACAGAGGAATTTTTTGTTTTAATTTTGGGTTAATATGAAGGTACGAGTAGGTTACATTATTTATATCTGTAAAGTCCACAGTGCGCCACGTTAACTCTCGATGGCGCCTGACAGGTGGGAGCTTACTGAGCCCCTCTCCATGGGAAGTCTTAAAAAGAATAAACACCTCAGGCTCAGGTCCGGCTCTCCTCGTGGGTGCCGTGAGGATTTTAGTGCTAGATTTCATTTTACAGTATTCACTACTGGACATCCCTCTCCCTTTCCTTAAGAACACTTTTACCTTTCTGTTGGCACTGAGGTTTGTGGCAGGGATCTGAAGAGTCACTTGGTAATCAGTAAGTTTGCTCATTTCTTCAGCTAAGAAGTTCGCTTCCCTCACCAAGGTGTTAGCTTTCACGAGCTGCTCTCGCAGCTTTGCCAGGCTTTGTCGGAAGAGTTCGTCCCTGTGGCATCACAGAAATGGAAATAAGAAAATCACGTTTCCAAGTGCGTTAGTCTTTTAAAAAAGATTTTTATTAAGTCATAAACACATAGACATGTGTACATTAATGCATTACGGGGTACAATGTGCTGATTTCATACACAACTTGGAATGCTTACATCACACTATTAATATATCCCTCACCTCATTTATTTAATTATTGTGTTAAGACATGGATAGTGAGTTAGTCTTGGTAGAAACATTTTTCTTTCTTTTTCTTTTTTTATTATTATTTATTATTATTTTTTGAGACAGAGCCTCAAGTTGTCCCCCTGGGTAGAGTGCCGTGGCATCATAGCTCACAGCAAACTCCAACTCCTGGGCTCAAGTGAGTCTCCTGCCTCCCAAGGAGCTGGGACCACAGGCGCCCGCCATAACGCCTGGCTGTTTTTTTTGGTTGCAGCTGTCATTGTTGTTTGGCGGGCTCAGGCTGGATTCAAACCCGCCACCTTAGGTGTATATGGCTGGTGCCTTAGCCACTTGAGCCACAGACACTGAGCTAGTAGAAGCATTTTTCAACCTATTTTACCAGACCACTTATCCTTGTCTCCTGCCCACAGATGGGTTACATGTTGAGAACCACTGGTGGGGGAGTGTGTGTGCGTGTGTGTGGGGGGGTCAACTGTGGAGCAACTTAACTAAAAACCAGGTTTTTATTTCTTTGTTTATTTATGAAGACAGCATCTTGCCCTTGCCTGGTAGGGGTGTATGTATAGGGGGTGTGAATTGTGCAGCAGTCTAACTAAAAACTAGGTTTTATTTATTTATCAATCTATTTCCTTATTTATGAAGATAGCATCTGTCTGTCTATCTAGCTAGTGTTTTGCCTTTGCTCGACAGGGGTATGTGTGGGGCTATGTGAATTGTGGAGCAACTTAACTAAAAACTAGATTCCCTTCCTCCCTCCCACCCTCTCTTCTCCCTTTCTTTCCTTTATTAAGACAGTGTTCTACCTTTGCCTAGACATGAGGGCGGTGGTAAGACCATAGCTCATGGAAGCCTCAAATTCCCGGGGGGGCCTCAAGTGATCCTCCTGCCTCAACCCCCTGAATAGCTGAACTACAGGTGCAAGCCACCACTCCCAGCCAATTTTTCATAGTAAAACGGAATCTTGCTACGTTGCTCAGGTTGGTCTTTAACTCCTCACCTCCTGACCATAGCTTACTGTAGCCTCAAACTCCTGGGCTCAAGGAATCCTCCCACCTTAGCCTCCCAAAGTGCTAGGATCACAAGTATGAACCATTATGCCTGACCAACCAGGTTTTAAATTAGGTAACATTTGAAAATTATCAGATTTTGCTTTGAGGATATAAATAAACCAATAAAGGAACCCTTTGGGAAAAAGAACTGATGATTATAACTTGTGTGTGCTGCCTGAGGGCAGGGTGGCGAGGGGCTGGCAGGTGAGAGAGATCTGGAGTTAGAAGAAAGTGCCCTGATTTCTTCTGGTAGTTAAGAATCACATCATGATAAGGCACTTCTGGAGCAGCAGGAATTCTTTCTGGAGCAGCAGGAATTCTTTCTGGAGCAACAGGAATTCTTTTTTTCAACTCTCTATTTAATAGCACTTGCTGACAAAAAGCAACCCTGACTTGGTCAAAACTCTATCAAATGTTCTCTCAGTCCCATGTCTTTAGTCTCCATAGCATTTGTGGTAGTTGTAACTTTTCATTTGCTTGTATAATTATTTGACCAATATCTGTCTCCCCTAGTAGGCTGTAAGTACCCACCATGTCTCTTTTGCTTGCATCCTGGCCAATGCATGGCCTACCAATGGATATTAAAAAAAAAAGGCCCAATGAATGAAGGAAAGAGCACGTCTGGATTTCACACTTGAATCTCGGTTCAAAGGTAAAGCCAGCCTGGCCTCGCGACTGCTCTGTGCCTCACACAGCTTCTCTCTCCTGCCATTTGTGTGCGGCCTGCCCTGACTTCACAGGCACATGCTGAGTTTGGATCATCCAAACCTCTATTCCTTTCCTGTCACCACAGAGATGGCAGAAGTGGCACACTGTGACGATGCTAAGGTAAAGACAATCGTTTTCAGAATAATGTTACCATTTTTCCAGGCTTAGACCCGTTCAGTCAGCTCTGTCGCTTTTTCCCACAATACCCCAAGAGGAAGCTTGTTGATGCTTCCTTTCAAGCACGTCCTAAGTCTTTCTCTTTGTTTCTTTCTCACACCCCTGGCTCAGGTCTCCCATAGCCTCCCAATCATCTCACACCCAGGCTCCTCTTGTTCCCCACCAAGACAGGTTTATCAATCCCTGCCTGCCTCAGGCCACTGCTCAGCTCAGGCCCTTGCAGGGATCCTGCTTATCTCCTGTGGGGTAAATTCCAAACACTCCAGTCTGCAGCCCTCCCACACACCCTGTCTACTGGTTTTGAACTTAATTCTCCCAGCTCTTCCAGAAATCACCTTCTAGACCACACAAAACAGTCATTTTGCATTCCCCTAAATACATCCTACTCTTTTCCACTGCCTGCCATCTGTTCACGCTAACCTACCCAAAATGTCCCGCTTCTCTCTGCCTAGTTAACTCTACCTTTCAAATGCACTTGATGTTCATCCTCCTCTCTGAAAATCCCTGCAGAAGACTCAGCTTCACGGAGGAATCTTCCTCCTCCCCTGAACCGCCTCCAAACTTACTGTGTACTCCGCCCCCGGGGCAATCATACCCTTGTTTGCCCCCCTCAGTACAGTCACACGATCAACACCCAAAGTGTTTACTGAGCACCTACCCTGTGACAGCACCATTCCAGGCACTGAGTGAAGTGGGTTTCCTGTTCCTAGGACTTAATTTCCAAAGGAGGAAATAGACAACAAAGAACTATATAATTATAACACTTCCTATTGTTAATGAAACTGCTTTTTAATTTACTATTATTTAAATTTTCACTCATTTATATCCTGCTCCATACTACAGCCTAAGTGTACAGAGAGAATAAATGACGTCTGTAGCTTTTCTTTGTAATTCTCAGGTCTTCATACACTTGATTTTCAGCCCATCAACATTTACGTAGGTGAGAATCCTTCATTATTTCACAACCCATCAACATTTACTTAGATAAGAAGCTCAGCTTCCTTATAACTGCCCACCCTTAATGGAATCTTAACTTCATCCAGTGAAACCTGATGAAATCAGTATTGCAACTTATCTGATCTCTTTGAATGACATTCCCAAAACATTCCCTCTACTCTTTTTTAAAACAAATTTTTTTTTTAAATTTTAGAGGCAAAGTTTCGCTATGTTGCCTTGGCTACAGTACAGTGGCTATCCCCAGAGGGGATCATAGCTCACTACAGCCTTAAACTTCTGGACTCAAGCAATCCTGCATTAGCCTTGGGAATAGATGAGACTATAGGCTTCTACTTGTTTCTTTTTTTTATGAATTTAAGGGAGGCGCCTGTGGCTCAAAGGAGTAGGGCGCCAGCCCCACAAGCCAAAGGTGGCAGGTTCAAACCCAGCCCCAGCCAAAAACTGCAAAAAAAAAAAAAAAAAAAAAAAGAGAATTTAAGTCCCAAAGAGAATCAATATGGAATTAAAGGAAGTGAAAAAACACTTTTAGCTACTTAACTGAAAAACACTATATTTAAGAGCAACCCACCTTTTCCATCAGATATTTTTGCTTTTATTGTTTATATTCTTTTTTTAATTTTTTTTGAGACAGAGCCTCAAGCTGTCCCCCTGGGTAAAGTGCCGTGGCATCACAGCTCACAGCAACCTCCAACTCCTGGGCTCAAGCAAGTCTCCTGCCTCTGCCTCCCAAGTAGCTAGGACTACAGGTGCTCGCCTCGCCACAACGCCCAGCTATTTTTTTTTTTTTTTTGGTTGCAGCCATCATTGTTGTTTGGCAGGCCCACCTGGGCTGGATTTGAACCCGCCACCTTAGGTGTATGTGGCCTTAGCCACTTGAGCCACAGGCGCCGAGCCGTTTATATTCTTTAGTAAAGAGGAAGGATGTAAATGTGTATGCTTGTACCGATTACTTTCAACACCTGTTGCTTGGAGTCAAGCACTAGCACATGGCAAATGTGGAAAAGGCAGCTCTTCAGAAACAGCCCCAACTGATAACCTCTGTTTCTCCTGGGCACAGTTAAGTACAAGGCATAGCATGTTATGAGCGTGATAAATCTTTTTAATTCAGTATCCAGACAGCTGAGCAGGTAGCTCCTGAGGAAAATGTACTTGACTCCTCCATTTAGCACAAACAAGTGCATTACTATGGGAAGACCTTTAATGCAGCACAGGGCTCCCCCTTCTCCTCTCAGGGCGCCCTCCCTGGATGAGGTTCACGTTCAGCCTCTCATGGACAGTGACAGGTGCAATGTGCTATGGGAGTTAGGTAGGAGCTCTAGAGTCAGCCAGCCTGGCTTCGATCTCACTGCTCAGAGACCAGCTACGTGACCTCGGGTAAGTCATTTCACCTCTCTGCCTCAGTTTCCTCACATGTAAAACGGGAGTGAACATGGTAGCAGGTGGGAAGAGGAGAGGCACATATCTAAAGCACTTAGATGGCACATGGCAAATGTTCTGTAAATGTCAGGTGCTGCTTTTTTTTACTATTGTAATGTGTGTGTTCGTTTGTTTTTTGTTTTTGAGACAGAATCTCACTCTGGGCTCTGGGTAGAGTGCCGTGGCATCATAGCTCACAAACTCTTGGGCTCAAGTGATCTTGCCTCAGCCTCCTGAGTAGCTGGGACTATAAGGTGCCTGTCACACTCCCAGCTAGTTTTTCTATTTTTAGTAGAAACAGGGTCTCGCTCTTGCTTAGGCTGGTTTCAAACTCCGAAGCTCAGACGATCGACCTGCCGTGGCTTCCCCGAGTGCTAGGATTACAGGTGTGAGCCACGGGATCTGACCTTGTTATGTGCTTTTTAAACACAGGGATTATTAGTGGGACTGTAGATAGATGTGGGTTGAAAGTATAGCTTTTAACTTATTAGATGGGTGATTAAGGCAGGACACTTAAAACTGCCCAATCCACAAGATATTGATATACTTCCTATGACGGAGTACTGCTGGGAGTGTCAAATAAAATTAGCACCATGCCTAGACTGCGGTAAGAACACAGCGGAAGTTAGCATTGATTTATTGTTTTTATTGTGATGGTTATTATTATTACTATTTCCTCCACTACTACCTCCTTTAAGACTTCTGATGTAAATACTAGAATGCATATATTTTACTTTTTGCTTATTTATTTATTTTTTGAGACATAGCCTCAAGCTATCCCCATGGGTAGAGTGCTGTGGCATCACAGCTCATAGCAACCTCCAACTCCTGGGCTCAAGCAAGTCTCCTGCCTCTGTGTCCCAAGTAGCTGGGACCATAGGCGCCTGCCCCAGAGCCCGGTTATTTTTTTTTTTTTTGGTTGCAGCCGTCATTGTTGTTTGGCGGGCCTAAGCTGGATTCGAACCAGCCACCTTAGGTGTATGTGGCTGGTGCCTTAGCCACTTGAGCCACAGGCGCTGAGCCAGTTTTACTTTTTTTGAGACAGAGTCTCATCATGTCACCCTTGGTAGAGTACCATGATGTCATAGCTCACAGCAACCTCCAACTCCTGGGCTTAGGGGATTCTCTTGCCTCAGCCTCCCAAGGAGCTGGGACAGCAGGTGCCTGCCATAATGCCTGGCCATTTTTTTTGTTGTTGCAGTTTGGCTGGGGTCAGGTTTGAACCCACCACCCTTGGTATATGGGGCCAGCGCCCTACCCACTGAGCCACAGGCGCCACCCTGCTTTATTTTTTTGAGACAGAGTCTTACTCTGTAGTCCTTGGTAGAATGCCATGGCATCATTGTAGCTCACAGCAACCTCAACTCTTCGGTTCAAGCAATCCTCCTGCCTCAGCCTCCCGAATAGCTGGGAGTATAGGCAACTGCAGCAATGCCTGACTAGTTTTTCTATTTTTAGTAGAGATGGAGTCTCACTTTGCTCAGGTTGGTCTCTAACTCCTGAGCTCAAGTGATCCTTCCACCTTGGCCTCCGAGAGGGTTAGAATTACAGGTGTGAGCCACTGTGCTTGACCAGAAAGTATTAATTTAAAAAAGTCACATCTAGTAGATTTCTTAGCATTGAAGTAGTATTTCCATAGAATCAAAAGTAGGGGAAATTAAAAAATAAGAAAAAATGCTTTTGTGTTAAAGAATTATTCAAACGTTTTCTATTTGAATACTTACCAGTCTAAGCCTTTTAACTTGGTGCTATTTTTACTGATGATAAAGGGTGGGTGGTCCTTTAATAGCTAACATCATAGTAAACATACTTAACTGGGGACAATACCTTTGAAAGGAAAATCTAAGTGCTAACCAATCGGATATGGGACTGAGATTTCCTCCTCTGCCAGGTTTGTCCCCTTTCAAAATGCTTTACAAGTCTCTTCTCCAAAGCCCCATGGCCCTGGAGCCAGGACTCTGGGCCGCCCAATGTCCATTCTTACCTCTCCTCTGCCCACTGGGTCACCTTCTGCTGTGCTGTCTGGCTGCTGTAGGCCAGGCGGTCGGGGCCGCTGCTCTGCGGCTGCCTCTCCGGGGACAGCTGCTGGCGGAGCTGTTCTAGCTCCCGCTCATACATGAGCCGCTGCTCCTCCAGGGCGCTTCTCTTTTCTTCTAGGTATTGTTTCTCCAGGACCTGAACCACATTTTGAACTGGGTCTGGCGAGCCAAGGGAGACAAAGCAAGGTGTCTTCAGCGGGGGCTGAGATGGGCACTCAAGCCAGGCACAGCCGCCTAGCAGGGCTTCTCCTAGCAAGAACATCTCCTGCCCCAGGATATCTGCTTTCTGTGCGAGGCCTGAGGCCTCACTGAAGGAAACCCTCCTAATCTCCTCTTTACTAACACTTTAGATAAACACCCCATGTGCATATACCATCCTCCACATCCACTATGTTGCTTTCTTGAGTTTGATGAGCTCATCCCAGTGTGCAGGTAGATTGTTAATCTCCTACCAGCAGGTGATAGAGAAGGGGACGTGATCCTGTCCACTGAGGAGAAAAACCTCATGAAATCTAGGACAGCTCCAAGGACAGAAACACGTAAGATTCCATCTTCCTTTACGGTAGCTGATTTCTACCTCCACTTAACATCAGTTTTAGTAGGTGACAAAGGGTTTTTGGTTTTTATCACAAATCTTAATCCTCTTGAACTTCTCTGAGGAGGGAGGAAACACAGAATACAGCACGTTTGAAACTATTGATCGAGGATATGGTCTGACGATTTCTCAGGTGCTAATATCTAAGAGGGCAATTCAGTTACAAAAATAACCAAAACCTGTTTCCGACACCTCACTGGCACAGATGTAGAGTTCCTCCCCACACATATAGGTAAACAACCATAGACATACTAACAGATCTTGCTCCAACTAGCCACTCTGATAACTAGTGATAGTTGGGGCGAAGATGGGACTTGGCTCTACAGAACTTACTGGATGGGCATGACATTAGCTAGATGCCATGGAGAAAGATGAAGGCTCTGGCCACATGAACAAAGGAGAAAGTTACTGATTCCCTACGTGAGTAGGTTGTAGGGAAACAGTATGTTAGACAATCTAGATGGCAGAAAAGAAAAATCACCATCATACTAAATACTGCAGACAAGTACACGGGACTGAGACGCGATGCATTCTCCACAGCAGCCCAGGACATCATTTCCTTCCGTGCATCCACACAGTTGCCTGATGTTCCCATACACTGGCTCTCAGATTAATTTCCAGGAAGGAAGTTAGAATTAAAGTGACTCAGGAGGAGTTTTTACATAACCTGATGATAGCTAGTGACAGAATTTTCCAAAATATCTTATCATTTCGTGAATAAACATGTAAATTGTACTAAATTTCTATGTTAGCAGGAAGAGAAAAAGATAACAATGTTAGCCAAACAAAAAGAAGCAATTTTAAAAAATCACAAGATAGGCCAAGTACAGGTAAGTTGTTTTAATAAAAATGACAACCACAATGGCAACAGTGACTCTACTAGCTACTGGCTATGTCTCAGGGAGAGGTACTATACCCTTCGCATGCAACACCTCATGAAAGTTTGCAACAAACCTAAAGGTGGATAGCATCCCAATTTTATTTTATTATTACTATTTTTTTTTTTGCAGTTTTTTGGCTGGGGCTGGGTTTGAACCTGCCACCGCTGGAATATGGGACTAGTGCCCTATCCTTTTGAGCCACAGGTGCCGCCCAGCATCCCGATTTTAAAGATGAGGAAACTGGGGCTTGGAAAGGTTACGTAGCTGACCTCGGATCACAGAACTAGTATGTGACAGAGCCAGGTTCTGAACTCAGATACCTCACTGGCTAACCAGTTGGGGCACAACTGATGCCTTAGTAATAAACTGATGTAGTATTCTTACTATACCAATTTTATTTATTCAGTCATTTATCTATTTATTGATTGAGTGACTGAGACAGAGTCTCACTCTGTACTCTTAAGTACAGTGCCTAGGCATCATAGCTCATAGTGACCTCAAACTCCTGGGCGCAAGCAATTCCCTTGCCTTAGTCTCCCAAGTAGCTGGGCTAGTTTTTCTATTTTGAGTGAAGACAAGGTCTCACTGTTGCTCAGGCTGGTCTCAAACTCCTGAGCCTCAGGCAGGTCTTGAATGCTGAGCTCAGGCAATCCATCTCCCAGAGTGCTAGGATTACGGGCATGAGCTATTGAGCCTGGCCCTCTGTACCCGTTTTTTGCTTAGAATTAGTACTCTATGTCTGAAAGAGTAGATACTTAAAAAAAAATTCTTGCTGATCAGATTAAGTCCCATTTATTTATTTTAATTTTTGAGACAGAGTCTCACTATGTCACTCTCAGTAGAGTGCTGTAGCATCACAACTCACAGCGACCTCAAACGCTTAGTCTTAAGCGATTCTCTTGCCTCAGCCTCCTAAGTAGCTGGGACTACAGGTGCCAGCTATTTTTTGGTTGTAGTTGTCATTGTTGTTTGGCAGGCCCAGGCTGGATTCGAACCCGCCAGCTCTGGTGTACCTCAGCCCTAGCCGCTGAGCTACAGGCGCCAAGCCCCATTTGTTTATTTTTGTTGTTGCAATTGCCACAGGAGTCTTCTTCATAAAGTCTTTCCCCAGGCTGATATCTTCAAGTGTTTTTCCCATGCTTTCTTTGAGGATTTTTATCATTTCATGCCTTAAATTTTAGGTCTTTTATCCATCTTGAATCCATTTTTGTGATGGGAGAAACTGCGGGTCCAGTTTCAGTCTTTCCCAGCATCATCTATTGAATAGGGATTCTTTTCACCAGTGTATGTTCTTGTTTGGTTTATCAAAGATCAGGTGGCTGTAAGATGTTTCATTCCCCTGGTTTTCTATTCAGTTCCAGATGTCTATGTCTCTATTTTTGTGCCAATACCATGCTGTTTTGATCACTATGGCCTTGAAGTACAGCCTAAAAGTCTGGTAGGCTGATGTCCCAGCATT